GGCTTGCACTTCTCCATGCCAAATTTCTTAAGAACTTCCTTAGCGTATCTTTGTTGAGAGATGAAGATTCCATCATCCAATTGCTTGACCTTGATGCCAAGATAATAGGACATAAGTCCTATATCAGTCATCTCAAACTCTTTAGTCATTGCCTTCTTGAAATCTTTGATCATGCTAGGCGAATTTCCTGTGAAGATGAGATCATCCACATACAAACAAACAAGCAACATATCTCTATTGCCTGAAAACTTCACATAGAGTGCATGTTCACTTGGACATTTCTTGAAACCATTTTCCTGAAAATAGTGATCAATTCTTGTATTCCAGGCTCTTGGTGCTTGTTTCAAACCATATAAAGCCTTCCTTAGCCTGAGAACTTTATTCTCATCGCCTTTGACCACATATCCTTCTGGCTGCTCCACATATATTTCTTCTTCAAGAAAGCCATTTAAGAATGCAGACTTTACGTCCATTTGATGGATTTTCCATCTACTTTGGGCAGCGATAGAAATTACTAACTCGATAGTCTCCAAGCGAGCAACAGGAGCAAATACCTCTTCGTAGTCAATGCCATGTCTCTGCTTGTAGCCTTTGGCGACAAGTCTTGCTTTGTACTTCTCAACTTCTCCTTTAGCGTTCTTCTTTGCTTTGAACAACCACTTTACTCCAATTGCTTTGTGGCCTTTTGAAAGAGAGGCTAGCTCCCAAGTTTGATTCTTTTCTATGGATCTTATTTCCTCATCCATAGCGTGTCTCCACTTCTCGTTCCTTGCTGCCTCTTCGTAACCTAGAGGTTCACACTCAGCAAAAAGGCAGAAGAGTGTGAGAGCTTCTATGCGTTCTGTTTTCTCATAGATCTCTTGTAGGCTTCTCGTCCTTTGTGACTCTTCATTCAAAGGTGAATGTGGACTTTGAGGTTGCTGAGTATCTTCACCTGCATCACTACTGTCATCATCGTATTCATGGATGACAGGAAGGAAGTCGTAACTTTCGTCACCTTCAATATTCCAGTTCCAGGTTCCCTTTTCATCAAACTCTACATCTCTACTCACAATAACTTTGTTCGTGACTGGATTGTAGAGCTTATAACCTTTTGACTGTTTGTCATAGCCAACAAAGACATGCTTCTCACTTCGATCATCAAGTTTGGACCGCTTTTGGCTTGGTACATGGGCATATGCTATACTCCCAAATACTCGTAGGTGATTTACTGTGGGCTTTGTCCCATTCCATGCTTCTTGTGGAGTCTTGTCTTCTAGACTCTTCGTGGGACATCGATTTAGTAGGTATACTGCACAATCAACTACTTCAGCCCATAACTCCTTTGGCATCTTCTTGCTCTTTAGCATGCTACGAACCATATTGAGAATGGTTCTATTCTTCCTTTCAGCAACTCCATTTTGTTGCGGAGAGTATGGAGCAGTAAGGAATCGTCTAATCCCATGTTCTTCACAGAATTTGGTGAATTCACTTGATGTGAATTCTCCACCTCTATCAGACTTTAAGGCTTTGATTTTCAAGCCTTTCTCCTTCTCCACCACAGCCTTAAATGTCTTAAAGGCATCAAAGGATTGTGATTTCTCCTTCAAAAAATACACCCAAGTCTTTCGAGAGAAATCATCAATAAATAGAATGAAGTAGGTGTTCTTACCATGGGATGGCGGAGAGATAGGACCACACAAGTCTGTATGGATGAGTTCTAAAGGCTCCTTAGCTCTTGATGTTGCTTCTTTTGGGAAAGCACTCCTCGAATGCTTCCCAAGTAAGCATCCTTCACATACTTGATTGGGCTGATTGATAGGAGGTATTCCTTTCACCATGCATTTGGCAGATAACATTTTCAAGTCACCAAAATTTAAATGACCATACCTCATGTGCCAAATCCACGAATCATCCTTCAAGCATGCTTTCATGCAGTTCTCATGTTGAATGTTCAACAAGAACATTCTATTACTTGTCATTGGCACAATGGTAATCAATTTTCCTTCTGGATCCTTAACTATGGCACTACGATCTTTCAAATGAATATCGTAATTTTTCTCCAGAAGTTGTCCCAAGCTCAAGATATTACTCTTAAGACTTGGAACATAATAAACTTCTGAGATGTATTGGTGACTTCCATCTTTAGCAAGGATTAGTATCTTACCTTTGCCTTCAACCCTTGCTCTAGAATCATCTCCAAACATCACGCACCCTTTGGTTGGTTCCATGTCTACAAACAACCTTTTTTCCCCAGTCATGTGGTTACTCGCAGCGGAGTCAAGATACCACGTCTTCTTCTCTCCTTCGTCCTCGTGTCTTGCCATTAAGAGAGTGAGTTGAACTTCATCTTTAACCTCCATAAGATTGGCTTTCTCTTTTACTTGACTAGAATTCCTACAGTCACTTGCATAGTGACCATATTCCTGGCAATTAAAGCATTGGATTCGAGATTTACCTCCTTTCTGAAACTTCATACCTCTTCCACGACCTCTTGTAGATTGAGAACCTTTGTTATTGTCATCCTTGGTGGATTGAACGTAGCCACCTCGAGCCCTTCCTCGTCCACGTCCTTGACATCCACTATTGCCTCGTCCAAGGCCTCTGCCACGTCCAAAGCCTCCATCTCTTTCTTTGAAAGAGAGTTTTGTGTAGAGAGCTTGCTCCAAAGATTCTTTGGGCCTTCTCTTCTTTAGTTTCTCTTCATGGGCTACTAAAGTACCCATGAGTTGATCAATGGTCATAGAGTCAAGATCTTTTGACTCCTCTATTGCTACCACAATATAATCAAAGCTTGGTGTCAAAGAGCGAAGAATTTTTTCTATTACTCTTGTGTCACTCAAGCTTTCTCCATTCCTCTTCATCTCATTTGACACTTTCAAGGCACGAGAACAATAATCCGAAACAAATTCGGACTCCTCCATTTGTAAAGCTTCAAATTCTCCTCTAAGAGTTTGAAGACGTACCTTTTTAACCTTCTCAATGCCTCTATTAGCATTCTCTAGAATATCCCAAGCCTCCTTTGATGTAGAAGCATTTGCCACCTTCTCGAACATGGAATCATCTAGACATTGATGGATAAGTGAAAGAGCTTGTTGATCCTTTCTCCTTGCTTTGTTGAGTTCCCCCCTTTGGGCAGGAGTCAAAGAAGCCTCATCTAGAGGTTTCTCATAACCTTTCTCAACAATCTCCCAAACCTCGTGAGAGCCTAAGATCGCCTTCATTCGAATGGACCACTTACCATAGTTTTCTTTGGTAAGTTGAGGGAATTGGAAAGAGATCATTCCATTTGCCATCTTACTTCAAAGCTGGACCAACACCAGCTCTGATACCAGTTTGTTAGCAAAAGAACCCTTTGGGTTATAAGGAAGAGATCTTTTAAGTGATAGGTTTAGGAAGTGAAAATGGAAGAGAAGGAAATTTTGGGAGAAAGGGAGCTTTACTACTTTGAAAGGAAACAAGGTGGAGTGTGTTAAGATTTTAGTTTAAGGTTTCTCACAACTCTCTACACATACTTACATTAGGGGGTTAACTCCTATTTATAGGAGTGCATGGAAGATTCTACACTCTTTCAAGATGTTTCTACTCCTTCTAAATATCTACATATTTTATTCTAATATCTAGACTTTTCCTTACTAATATCTAGATATTTCTTCTAGATATTTTCCATGAATTATTCTACATACTCTTGATATTTATGTAGAACATTTCTAGAACTTTCTACTTCTAGATATCTTCTTATCTAGACAATTCTTCATTGGACTTGGGCTTAGGATTAAACATAAAGATTCATGGTCCAAGTTAATAATTTTGGATAACCCAATATTAATTGGACCAAATTAAGTTTACTTACTAACATTTACTGGATGTTTAGAAGTAGCTAAAATGCAATCAAGATTGGTGGTAATCATTTTGTTTGGAATAAAAGGGGAAATTTTCAGATTTGAGTTCCCAAGTCTTGCGGTCTTCATAGTCCTGTGGCTATTCTTGCCCAATTCTTATTATTTTCGATCACTGTACATCGAGATTTACTCCTCTTTCGCTGTTTGTCAAAAATGCTTTATAGATCTTCCGAAATTTTGGTTGAAAGAAGACATGCTCATTGACATTTTTTTTTTTTGGATGTGGAAACCAAATTAGAGACTCTGTTGTCACGCCCATTTCTCATAGAACTCTTCTCTTGGATTTCTTTCCATGAATCCCTTCTCCGTTCAGTGTAGTTTATTCAGAATTTTACGGATTGCAAAACGGATTTGTAGATTGGTAGAAAGCTTAATTTCAACATGACAATCATTTTCTGAAAATCTGTCCTCATTTCGGAGATTCGTTTCTCATAGCTCTTGAACCTTTTTTCAGGATTTCTTTATATGAAACTCTTCTTTGTTCAGTGAAGTTTAACTCTGGTTTTGTGGATTTTAAAACCGGTGTATGTTTTGTCCGAAAAGTGAATTCAAACAGGACCAATCTGTTCTGTGTTTTCTTTAAAAAATTTAGTGATCATAAATGCGACTAATTTGTATGTATCATTCTGTTTTGTAGACTTGGCTTTTCTCTCGGGTTTTCTAAATGAAAAGGAATGACTTCGTATAAGTTTGAAATCTTGAGAACTCTAGGTCTAATTAAGAATTTTGTTCTACAGGCATAATGCTCTAGAGTATTGTATATTTTTGCCATTTGGTGAACCGAAATTTGAGCTTTTGTAGTCTGATGAGGTCTGATGGGTGAAAATGTATCCATGAAATGCTCAAACCATGATTTACAGTCTAGGAATAAGTCTAAAGAATTTAGGAAAATATGACTGTGGTTGAATCTTGCGTTATTTGGTAGCATGGTGTGTTTAGCTGTTAAAAAGAAACTGCTTTAAGAATGTTGCAAACTCCTTTCTATTTATTCATCATGAACTTGGCAGGTTGTAACTTAGACTTATTTCTCACCTTGCTGCTAAAATTTCAGAACACATAAATTGACTTTAAAGCTTTTGCCCTTGACCTGAAACCCCTTTCTTACAAGCTATTTACAAAATGTTTTGCGTTTCTATCCTGCGTGTTTATCAAGGTACTCAATGTAAGAGGTTAGGAAAAAAATAATAATAACAATAAAAATAAAAATAAGAACAGGTTTTACAGGTGTAATAATGAGAATGATTTCAAAAGTAAATTTTAAAACGTGGTATGTTAAATTATGTGGGAAACAAGTTTCTTGGCATAGCTTTTGTTTAAAGGCAATTCGTTTTGTAATGCTGTTTCTGATCTTCCATGTGTTAATAGAACTTGAATAGCAAGAGCATGATTATACTCTGTACGTAAAATTAAGCTAATTATGTAGTATATATAATGGAAATGATATGTGGGTGTATATGTGGATGTGCAGGTCCGGTCCTGGTTGTTAGAATTCCTACGGGTGTTCAGAACATAACTGGTATGTGTATTTTTGTCGTATTAAATATTCCTCTTAACTTAAAACTCCTCTTTTTTTAGTTCTAATAAAGAATGTTTTATTATAACTAATGAAATTATAATGACATGAGGATTTTTGTTACAAATTCCCAGCTCAAGTCGTAAGCAATTTGGGTCTGCCCACCGGACTAGAAAGAGTGATCTTTAAAACCGATAACACTGACAGGGAAAAATTCAAGTGAAAAGATTGATTTTCCCTAAGTTAAAATTTGCATCGTCCTTCAAAGTACATTGGTTGCCTACATATACTGCATATTTATTAACAGGTTTGTGATTTGGGCAACAATCACCGTACGTAACTAAGCTTTTATGTGGTCTGCTTTGATTTTTCAGGCGCCTCATGAATCAGATCCCTTTTGAAAAAAATTATGCCGGGCTGATGCCAGATGCAGCAGAATGGTTGGTGAAGAATACTACAATCAAATTCATTGGTAAGCGTAAAAACTACCTTAAAAAGGAGGGATGAAAGTGGGAAAAAAGTTTTTTTTAAAGAAAAGAAAAAACAGAAAGATATGGTCTTTTTTTTTAAAAGACATTCCGGGGCAATGTCTTTACATTTTCTTTTTTAATTTAAATTTCGTTTCAGGAGTGGATTACATGTCTGTTGCCTCATTTAACTACGTTCTTAAAGTTCATGAGATTTTGTTGAACAAGCCGGTATGTTTTTCTAATTCACCTTTCCATCTCTTTTGTTGAGTAAACGAAAATTACTAGAAATTAAATACTAGATTAGTTTAAGCACATTTCATGGACTGCTGTGGCTTGTAAGTTCGAAACAACTTGTATTGCTTCCTTATTCGCGTTCCTGGCAGCCCAGGCAACATGTATACATATATATACAATGAAAATTACCCTCGAGAAATTTCCTAGCCAGTAATTGATGTGTCAACTATGTGACGTCAGAATTATCGTGATTGTCATCATGACTACTTTGGTTATATATATATATATATATATATATATATATATATATATATATACGCTGATTAATTTTGGATAAATGATTCATCCATTCATCAGGGCGTAATTCCAGTGGAATGCTTGAATCTTGAGGGTGTGGAGCCTGGGTATTATGATGTCTACTGCTTGCCTACAAAGATTGAAACTGAGGGAGCACCAGCGAGATGCATCCTCATGAAGCCAACCAAAGCTAAAAGGACAATACTCGATATAACTCACACGCTTAAGAACTACATGACTGTTTGGAAAAATTATGCACAAACCGGAGAAATCATTAGGAACACAACGGTAAGGTTGGAACTGACTATGGCACCCATGTTGATTCTCCTCAACACTTGCTCAGCTTGAAAGATAGCCCCATCTCCGCCCTTACCCTTGATCTTCAAACTCTAATTGGTTCGACTATCTTTTTCTTTTCAATAACTAACGTCCATTTTTAACGTTATTATAGTATTCGTAATGCCTCGATAGAAGGGTTTTTGTCGTTGTATCATACGTAACAATAACAGAGTGGCTGTGCAGGTAGGGTCCTGGTTGTTAGAATTCCTACGGGAGTTCGGAACATATCTGGTATGTGTATTTTTGTAGTATTAAATATTCCTCTTAATTTTAAAATTCCTTCTTTCTTTTCAATGTCAATAGTTATGATTTTTTTTCCTTTAGTTCGAAAGAATGTTTCACTATAACTGATAAAATAACAATGTAATGACTTGTGGGTTTTTGTTACAAATATCCAGCTCAAGTCGTAAGCAATTTGGGTCTGCCCCGCGGAATAGAAAGAGTGATTTTTAAGACAGATAACACCGACAGGTAAAAATTCAAGCGAAAAGATCGATTTTCCCAAAGTTAAAATTTGCATAGGTCATCAAAGTCATTGTTTGCCTACACTAACTGCAAAATTAATTAAAAGGTTTGTGATTTGGGTAATTATCAACGTACGTAACTAAGCTTTTATCTTGTCTGTTGTGATTTTCCAGGCGCCTTATGAATAAGATAGCTTTCGAAACAGATTATACTGGATTGACACCAGATGCAGCAGACTTGTTGGTGAAGAATACTACAATCAAATTCATTGGTAAGCTTAAAAACTACTTCAAAAGGGATAACACAAAACTAGTTTATTGAAAGGTGGAAAAAAGAAAGGAAAAAAAAAACAGAAAGATATATATTTGGTCTTTTTTTTAAAGACATTCCCGGGCAATGTCTTTATCCTTTTTGTTTTTATAATTCAAATTTCTTTTCAGGAGTGGATTATATGTCTGTTGCCTCATTTGACTACCATCATCAAGTTCATGAGATTTTGTTGAACAAGCCGGTATGTATTTTTAACCCACCTTGCCATGTCTTTTGTTGAGTAAACAAAAATTACTAGAAATTAAATACTAGTACTGGATTAGTTTAAGCACATTTCAAGGACTGCCTAGGTAAGTAATTGAAAATTAACCTCGAGAAATCTCCTAGCTAGTAATTGATGTGACATCATTGCTTGGGTTATTTAAAGCTGATTAAATTTGGGGGGAATAATTAATTAATTCAACAGGGCGTAATTCCGGTGGAATGCTTGAATCTCAAGGGTGTGGAGCCAGGGTATTACGATGTCTACTGCTTGCCTATAAAGGTTGCAATGGAGGCAGCAACAGCGAGATGCATCCTCATGAACACTAGGCACTAGCGGATCTAGGGTGGGGGCCTTAGCCCCCACTGGCCCCACCGTAGCCCTTTATATTATATATGTATATTTAATTATTTTAATATAATAGCAAGATTACTTTCTCTCTTGCAGATACTAAAAGACTCGTATAGCTACTTAATTGGTTGGAGAAATAAAATGTTTATCACAATTTGGGTTTGTATTGAATTCTGGATGTGTAGAACTGATTTCCAACCCCCACCTTAACATCTGATGTGGTCCATGTGGGCATTAATATTACTACTATAATTGCATTACAGTTATGAAATTTATTGCCTTGTTTCTTTATCTTTGATTCTGAAGTCTGAACATAGCTTTAGTAATTGTAATATTGTTGTAAAACCTAGCAATAGAGTTCAAGAGATATATAATACAGCAGATTATTTGTTTGCAATAAAATGCAGACTCTGTTTTTGGAAAATACAGCATGAGATACCTCAAACCTCTACTCGTGACTTTTCATGTCTGATCCGTGCTCAAGTCTTCAAATGTTGAGAAGACACTTGAATAGTTTTATGACTGCAACATGCACAACAGAAAATTGGGATATATTTCTGTGCACTCATTTTGACAATTTTCTTTGCAATTTGGATTCAGTAGAGTTTATAGATATGTAATAGGCGGGGTAAAGGAAATGTGAATTGTAAGAATGTTGGGCTGTTAATTAACATATGTTAATTCATTTTTAGGTGCCTCATATATAAGAGGGAGTTCCATGCGAGCTATGTGGGATTCATGAAAGATGGAGCACAATGGCTTGCTACGCGGGATTCATGAAAGATGGAGCACAATGGCTTGTGGATACACTGATGTCAAACTTGTTGGTAAGTGAGAGTAATTTACTCATTTTTGTTTTTACGATCAACATTATATTGCCATTAGGATCAGCAGAATAATAATAATAAAGGGAAGGGCATCAGAATACCAAGCTTGTTCAGACACATGATGGTATTCCATATTGTTCTTTGTTGGAAAATCAATGGTCACTCTGATGTATGTTGTTTCCGTGCTTGTAGGAATTGATTACTTATCCGTTACTGCATTTGCTGATCTGATCCCTTCCCACCTGGTTTTTCTAGAAAACAGGGTGAGAACATCTGCCTTTATTCACATTCAGATATCCCATCGAAATTTCAGTAATAACTTGTGTCTTTTCTTTCTGTCACGGCAAAATTTCTTGCTTTGACTTCTTCAGTATACGAGTCAGATGATTTCCACATTTCACCATTGAAATTTAAATAGTATATTTTGAAGATGTAGTATGCTGGTGTAGTGTAACAACAGTTGCTGAAGTGGTGTAGGAAATCATTCTTGTGGAAGGCTTGAAACTTGATCACATTCAGCCAGGAATCTATACTGTACATTGCCTGCCCCTGAGGTTGTTGGGTGCTGAGGGATCAACAATCCGATGCATTTTAATCAAGTGATCTCCTGTCTGGGAATGTTTTGAGGAAAAAGGTAAACTGCCTTTGACCTGATACCTATGCTTTCCCATAAATTTGTGCCCCCTATATAGAAGCTCAAATGTCCCTTTTCCTGGCAACTTAGCAGCATATATAAACTCACATTTGCAAAAAACGTGTACATTTCCACAGGCAAGAAAGCAGCAGGCCCTAGAGTGGGTGTTCTTTAAGGGGGGATGACATGCCGGAAAAGGGTCAGTCCATGAACCATGCATATTTGTCAAAGTGTTTACATACCAGGAAAGAAATGATGTATCGTGAATAAAGTGTATAAATCAGTATCAGTGGAGATTGAAGAGATGCTTTTCTTTTGTTGTTTTGGTGTGTAAATTGTTTATCTTTCTGTGGTATGCATTACCGAGAAACACAGATCTACTTCGTTTTTTTTTTCTGGTGCCCATGACTTGAAAAACATCATACATATTTCTGTAGACTGATGAGATGGCAAAGAAATATATTGTGCCTTCTTTCCAGAAGATATATAAAAGGAAAGGAAAACATAAAAAAAAAAAAAAAAATTAAATAAGGGCAAACATTAGGCCATTTTAGTGGCACCCAATAAAAATTATCAGAACTATTTGGTACTGGGGCCGGAATTAGCCATGGACAGAATCCCTTGGATGAATCAGCCGTCACTTGATCTTGGAGGAATTATGTTGGGAGACTGGCTCTTTTTAAACATTGAAAATACTCATATATGTGTTCATCTTTTCCAATTACTGTAAAAGAAATTTTATTGAGCGGCCAATTTCGGTGGTTGCCTTATTGCATGAGGAATGGTCCCGACTCCCGAATCCAACAATTCTACAACTGGGTTCTCATTTTGACTTTCGAGGCGATGCGTTTGATCATTACTTCGCTGACAAATTACGGGACGGTAAACTGTTTGATTAAATTACCAAGAGAAAGAGATTATTGGATCAAAGTTTTTGCCTGCTGGTTATCCAGTGTTGGTGCCGTACTGTCTATTTGGTTCTCGTCCGCTTAAATGCCCCCTTTCTCCTCCGATCTTCTTTGCATTTTGTTGTCGCATTGGATTAATGGAGCTTGGATTGGGAGGGCGTAGTCCAGTTGCAAACATCAAGTATAACATGATACTTATTCAAAAACTTGCTGGTATCTGACTTGGTTCATGAACTTTGAACACATAAATACTTGATTCACACACATTGGGACTTAAAATACTTCAATAATTTGGGGTTTACACGTCAATAATTTAAGACTAATCTACTGAATTTTCTCAAATTTTAGAACTAAAACATAAGGTTTTCTTTTCCATCTAGGAAAAACAGTTAGATGGTGGATCTAGAAAAAATATATATTCCGGTTTAATTAGACGAAGGAGTTAAAATTAATTAATGTGATTCATTAATTCATTAACGTTAATTAATGAATGAATGGTCATGCTTAGTCCAGCGCAAACATTATGGGTGACATGGAAAACGTAAAAATTCATTAATTAAAAAAACTTGGTTGGAGCCGTGTGGATAACAAGCTATATATATCCATAGGCGTAAGACCACAAAGGAGTGCGAAAAGTAATTAAGTTGCAGCGTTTTGCAAAGGGGAATTTAAACAAAAGCCCTTATTTGCCGTCAACCCTAACTTTTTTGCCCAATTCTTCACCTTTTCTCACTAAGCCTTCTCTGTATCTTCATCAGAATATGGCTCCGAAAATTGTTGCAACCATGTTGTTTGTTGTGTTTGTGCTGATGAGTACTTCGCTTACTGCAAAATCTGAGAGCTATGATGAATGGAGGATTGAAACCTGCATAGGCAATATTTGCGATTATTTGAAGTCTCTGTGTGAGATTTCTGATTGTAACAGTGATGGCAATGACAAGCGTGCGTGCTTAAGAGGCTGTGTTGACCAGTGGAGAGCCTGTGCACATGAATGCAGATTGCATTCTCCTCATCCTCCTCCTCGTATTGGAAGGGTACCAGCTTTTAATGTTTAGGGGCTTGACCATCCATTATTCTTCTTTTTGTTTTTTCAAGAAAAAAATGATCAAATAAATAAATGATTCTGCAAACTGGCGCGCTTTTTGGACTTGCGAGATGACTTCGCTGACAAATTACGGGTCGGTAACTGTTTGATTAAATTACCTAGAGAAAGTGAGGATTTGATCAAATTCTTGCCTGCAGTTTATTTAGTGTTGATGCTATACCGTGGTGTTTGCATAATTATTATGCCTTTTTCTAATTATTCAGAGCATGTGCCGTTTCACCCGAGTCATGCCAAACCAGTCATCTTTTGATTTTTTTTTTTTAATTTTAGCACGAAAGGTAAAGAAGAGCCATGAGGAGGAAGCTCTTTGTTTGGTTGGCATCTAATTGCATAAATTCTTTTATGTTTTTGGAAGCAGGCGTTGACTTAAATCTAGAGGAAGCACACTTGTGATTTCCATCTATAGTTCCATCTTTGGACAACGGAACATCACAGAAGATGAGGGTTGTATTTGTTTTGCTAGTATGCACTCAGTTTCTAATAACTGAGGTCCTCTGTTTGTCTGTTTCATCCACAAATGATGCGTATCCAACTGGATATGGTGATGAGTCTGGTGCTTGTATGAGTAGCAGGGATGTTTTGAAGCCTTTGAAGAGATAAATATATTACCAAGGTGGAGAAATAATAGATACCACCCACAAGTTAACTCCAAACACACCTGGGGGAATTATTGAGGGTTGGGGTGAATATCTTAGTCTCGTGAAGAGCATGAAGAACGGGTCTGATTCGAATATCTCCGGGATGAAATTAAATGTTCGTGTTGGCACTCATGTTGATACTCCAGGACATATTTATGATCACTATTATGATGCTGGATTTGATGTGGACAGCCTAGACCTCAGAGTTCTAAACGGTAAGGTGTTTTGGCCCTGCAAAGGCTGGTTTTAGTGTATCTTACAGTTTCCTTTATGTTCAAATCTGTAATCATTTTTCCACTTTGGCTTCTTTGTATGTTGCAAGTGTTTACTCGAGTAGTTCCATAATTTTTAGCTTGTGTAATCATTTGCAATTGAGACGAAGGAATTTTACTGGCTAGATTTATCCAAATATTTAAACTTCAATCACTTTTTTTATTTGCAGGCCCGGCTTTGGTAGTTGATATTCCGAGGGATAAGAACATAACAGGTATCCTTAACCCTGTCAAAATCCACGACTGACTCTAGTTTGTACGGTGACAATTCTAGGAAATGAGGTCCTGCATCATTGAGGATAATTGTTATCTGCATATCTTTTATGCACTTCATTTGAGTTATTCCCTGGGTGGATCCTGTATGGGAGTAGCAACTATTGGATGGCAAAGTTCCCATGCTAATTTTATTGCTCGTGTTTCTCTATTAGAATTGAGTATCTTTCATCAAAGAGAAGAAGTATCTTTAGAATGTGTCTATCTTAGTGCCTATAATTTGAGATTAACTGCAAATGATATAGTTGAGCCGTATGCTGATTCTTTTGGTTTTGGTATTCTGGCCTGAGTTACATACACACTAAGTTCTAATTTTGTTTTCTTTTCTCTCTTTCCAGCTGAAGTGATGAAGACCTTAAACGTCCCCAAAGGAATAAGACGAGTACTCTTCAGAACGTTAAACACTGACAGGTGACTTAGTGATCCACTTGGTTTAGTATGTGCAGCCAATCCAATCGAACCAAGAATGATGTGGGGCCTGAAAAATCGAACCAAGCATGCTAGCAGCCAATCCAAATGGAATCCATCTGAAATCCTCAACATTCTTCTTCTTTGTCCTGCCGCCAGCCACACAACACTTCTTCCCTTGGAAAAACATAAAAAAAAATAAAAAACCAAAGTACCCGATCCAAATTTTGGTATAGTTGTTATATGAAATTTTGGATTGGGAGCTCCAGTTTTAAGCGATGGATTTCGAATTGGCTGCTGGGTGTGGCCACTTATTCTCAAGCTCTCTTGAGTTTCTTGCTAATGGAAGTGACCGAGAGTCAAGAGTCTGGAACCTTGAAGGCCACCTCTGGTCATAAAATCAAAGGAATGTAATGCAGATACGATTTCATTGACTGTTTGTTCCATCAAACCATAGAATATAATGTACACTTCCAAGTATCTTATAGTAGTATGCATATCCATCTAACTGATTGGTTTTTCAATTTGTAGAGTTTGAAACTTTGTTGCCCCGGCTCTGCCAAAATTGTAATGGTGTAGTGGAGGTTGTTAACTACTTAGACGGATATACATATATGTAATTAAATCAAGTATTTTCTTTTTTAATTATCATTATTAAGAAATTCCGCAAGCTGTCCAGCCTTGGTCACTCAATTGATGATCTTCCTTCTCAATGATTAGTCAATCCTTTCATTCCCCTCAACCTTCTTCTTCTTGTTTCATTCTGATCCCTTCCCTGAACAAATCAAAGTTACCTGGATCCATTTTTCCTCGTTGCCTTTATTTGTACGCCCATTCAAAGAGGTTCAACAGGCGTGTGCGTAACAGACATTCCGGTAATTAACTTCTAACTTTATTTTGGCCTCTGCAGATACGTCTTAATCCGGATCCGATGGCCACGCCTGCCGGATTGGGTTTTTTCAGGACCTTCCAGTCCTTGTCTCCGTCCTCACTGTTTCCGAAAGAAATCTTTATTTTACATTTCTGAAAATCTGAAGCAAACCTACAGTTTCCGCTGTCTTCTGTTTTTAACTCTTAAGCTGCTAACGTTAAGCACAAATTTTTTCCACTGAAAATCTTTTTCCGCCTTTCTCTATTTGGATTTATCAGTAGTTGGTTCCCCTCTTAGCTCCAATTCGGAAGGAAAAAAATGTTATATTGACCGAGAGAGGATTCAAGGATGGTTGCATTAAGCTCCAACCAAAAAGTGTTCTTTCCTCTTTGAACTCTATTATCTCCTGTATCAAAAATTTATTATTTTCTATAATCTGACTCCATTTCCAGCACTCTACTAAAGTGTGATGTTTATACTTTCGTTGTGTATCAAGTACATCGCTCCATTCACATCTTGCCAAGGCAGAATACACAATTTGAATAGCAAAATACATAGATATATAGCAAGCTATCCTTCTAATGGTCCACTCAACCAAATTTTGTGAGAGATGAAATGATCAGCTAAGAAGCATATCTTTGATTGCGCGAATTAGAATTGGAATTCGGAAAGAGATTTGGTAAAGGCTTCATAAGCCTTAGTGTGGTTGGCGATAGTCACAGGTTCTTTTCCTACGCCAAACAAATGGATGTATGTGGTGTTGTTTAAAGGGAAGTCGCATTTCCTGTACACGAACTTCATACAATTTCGGTTTCGTCGACCTCTTCGTCGGTTTATGTGCCATGACACAAGTTGACGCGTGTTCAAAATCTCCCTATTCCTGAATTTGAAATATTTTTTCAGCTTTTATTAATTTTAGTAAACAAAAAAAGTTCATGTTGAACTCTTAACCTAATCTGTACAATAACAAATTTAAGGCCTCATGGATCAAGCGTGAGCCTTTCTAGTCTCACTCTTTTGCTTTCAGTTTCAGCTTCATTTATATATATGATGAGCCTCAATGAGTAGTATTCCTTCATTTTGTAATCAATCTGAAATCCTCAACCATCTTCTATTTTCTTCTGCCGCGGCCATTCACCACCCCCTGGAAAAAAAGCAAAAGTACCTACAGATGTCCTGATCCATTTTTCTCTAATTTTTATTTGAACTTTGCATAGGTATATAATTCCACTGGTTAATTTCGAGAATCCACAAGGCAAGTTTCTTGGAGGAGTCAACCTCCAGAAAATTCGGTCTAGTTTGTGTTACATGGATTCTGGATTGGAAGCTCCAGTAACGTTGGTGGATTTCGGATTGGCTCTTGTATGTGGCCATTTCTCAAGCTTTTTCTTGACTCCTAGCTAGTGGAAGTGTTTGGTCGGTACGAATTGAACCACAAGATGTCTTCAACTAGACTTTCTCCCACTATCCAATTACAATATACTCCCTTTCCAAACAAAAGAAATTACAATATACTCCAATGTCGTTCTACGACCCCAACAGCTTGCCAAGAAAACTTAAAGTTCAGTGTTTTTCTTGGAAAACATTGGATTGCCCAAAATGTGGTCCGAAATATTGGGCAAGCTGTTAGAGCGGTAATTGCGATCGGCTTTGGAGCAACTAATTAAAGTTATTGTTCCTGGACCTTCACCTTACCTTAATCCTAAGACACTTGAAAACTGCAAGACAGCATCCAACGTAGAATGGATCATATACCTCGTTCTGAAACCATATTTTCCGAATTACCTGATGGATGAATTAACTAGATACTTGGCAATAATAAATTTTGATTCCAACAGGTTTCCGTATCTTTTGTACCTTTCCAGTTTCCATCAAATCAAAGGGATGTATGTAAGTATTCCATCAAACTAAGAACTGTAATATAAATCACTTTTTTTTTGGGTGAATTAATGTAAATTACTTCAGTTGCCTTATAGAATGTAAACACCATGTAAACTGATAGGGGACGGGACTAAATGAATTATGCACCTAAAGTTGTTCCGCATTCATCTTTTTGGCTTCCCTTTCTTTTGCAATTTTCTACATTTTGGTTTCTGCATTCGGCACGTTATTATTCGTATATAGAATTTTGTCTTTCATAATTTGACTGGCCTCTGTTGAAGTGCGATTTCTTACTACTCGATGAGAATTTGATTTGCTTTGAGTAAACGTGCGGTGTTCTTCAAAAGTAGTCCATACATTTTCAGGATTAGAACTCCATTTCAATTTTTCAAACTCTTTGTATCTCTCCCATTTTTGTGCTTTGTCGAGTTTAACACATGGTCTTAGTGATTAATGGCAACAATTGCGTTTTTCTCTCAATAAAAGACACAAAACAAATACTCATCCGCAAAATGAACTTGAGTTGCTCAGTTCCCAAATCTTGTAAACAGAAACAAGGAATCAACAAGGAAAAGAGCTTATGCCCCCAGAATCCAATCCAAATCATATATGCGCAACATATTCATTAAGCGAAAGCAGTTAATGGAAGGGGGAAAAAAAAGTCTGTCACAACTCTTTTCGTTGATCCAAGCCAAAAATGCATGTTAGTATGGTCCTAATATTTTCAACTCAGTTTAAACTCCGCAAAAAATTGCAACCTACACAGTTTTAGCAAACTTAACACATGCCATAGTCGTCTAGCTGATGTGAGATCAAGAACAAACTGAACATTTTGATGGAAATTCATTTTTTCAAGACTTCCTTTTCATTTCATCAGCTTTATAAACCTCAACTAATACTATAATGTTCCGCAATAAATATATATACTCCGTCATTTGTAGTCCATCTGAAATCCTGAAATCTTCTTCTTCTTTCTCCTGCAGCCTTCATAAATATACACTGATGATCACCTGATTCTTTTTCTTTTTTTTTTTTCTGGCATCTAATAGCCGTCTCTGTTGCCTTAAATTTGGCTAGTCCGCGCTTGCGTGGGTTCATAAATCCACCTGTTTCCCAAAGGTCCTCCAGATGCAGGGAAAGTGGCTCCATCCTCCAGGTTGGTTCCGGGACGGGGAATCATGAACTTGTGGGATAGTGACTTACTTGGAGGAGTCAAGCTCTGGATTATTTGCTCTAGTTGGTTTATAGATTTTGAAATGGAGGCTGGATTCAGCCAATTGTCAAAGCTCTCTCGAGTTCCTGGCTAATGGAAAATCCCTGGTGCGGGGATAAGAACAATCACAATCATGACTAAACGGAATCTCCTAACACAGAGTAGTCCTGCTTCCAATCGGTCGACATGGCTAATACGATTTCATCCAGTGTTTTTTGAGAACATTGAATTTTGTGGGGAGATAAGCGGCAGAATAACAATGTCAAAACTCGAAATTTTATGGTTGTAGCTTTTGGCTGTGAAACAGGATTCAAGATATCAAGTAGGACTCTGTCAAAAGGATAGAGGAACTTTACAACAGTCACATAGGGCTCATCAATCACTGAGATTGAAGTTGAACTCATGATTAGAATCAGGATTGGTTCTTTTCTGTTATCCTGGAGCCAATTTCTTTAATTGGATTGGAGGGATATTTGGCCCAAGTTATTTACGTGGATTTTGGTGCTTGTAAAACATTGCCAGATAAGCTTCTTCATTGATTTCTCTCAGAAAGCCTTTCTTTTCCTGAAATATTTTTTCAGCCTTTCTGAATTTCGATTTATTGCTTGTTGGTTCCACTCTTAATTAGCTTCCATTCGTAAGGAAAAATGCATTGTTGACTTGGTTGGCGGGGAAATTGCTTTTCAATTACAGTGACGGAAATCTGATCTTTTCCATAATTTGACTCCATTTCTTTTTTTAATTTTTTTTTGTTAAACTAATCTGACTCCATTTCATGTCCTCTACTATAGTAAATAAGAGTTTTTTACCGAAAAAATTATCAAGAGAAGAACCTAGACAAAAATAATGTGAAGAGAGACAAGAGAAACAAAAATAGATGTGCCGGATTTGCCAAATACGAGAGCACCTATCATTTGAATTTGTGAAATCCGAGAGAGGCTGAATACGGATTTGGCTAATCCAAAAGTCCTCTAACCTGAAATTAATTAAATTAAATCAAATGATTAATTAAAATTAATCTAGTTTCGGATTTTTGAAATCCGAATGACTTTAATAAAAAAATAATTTTTATTTTGGAAAAAAATTCCAAGTGTTGAAAATTAAAATTGACTGAAAACGGATCACCCAAATCCGAATTACCGAGACAAGTGTCTAGAAGAGTTTCGTATTTAGTAAATCCGAGTGTTCGCAGATTCTGCAGAACATTCGGATTTGCCAAATTTGAGAGATCCCAAAAATAGTATCTTTTGGATTTGCCAAATCCGAGATATACCAGAAAGCTGGAAAAAAATAATGGACTGATTTTCACCCATTCTCACCTTGTTTAAACTGCACCAACAACCAATTCATAACAAATTAATTCAACAACAAAACGATAACATTTTCATAACAAAATAATGTAAAATTCTCAAATTACAATTCAAATCATTCAAAAACCCTAAAAAAAACTAATCAACAATCATTTTTTTCCTTTCCTTCTCCTAGGAATAGTGGGCGGGGTAAAGTTAACCGGCGGGTTGCGCGTCCTGTCGGATTTGCGAACCCCTTATACCTCTGGCTCTGGACGAATTGTAAGAATTAGCTCCACGTTTAGGACTTACGATTCTCCTCTGATAGTAATGGTAAGAGGTACCTCTTCATGTGGTGTGTAAGATTCTCTCGAAGAACCAACATTGTCCTCTCTTCTCACATTGTCTCCTCCCATTTCCTCCCCTCCTCCCACATTCTCTCCTCCTAGGTTTTTTTGCTCGTGTCGGCCCCAACCTTCCGCGTGATCATGCGATTGTGATGGTCTGAAAGGACTCCTTCGCTTTCTCCCTCTAATTTTCTCTCTTGGCCACGGCTTCATTGTTTCACCGCGCGGACCTTGTGAAGGGCGATAAGGTTCATAATTCAAAAGGATTTGGGAATCTTCAATTACTATCTCATCGTCATTTTCGAGAGTTAAAGTAGTGTGGGTTACATCCGCGAAATAGTCGAGCATCTTTTCGAGGTCTTTGTCTAGGTCATGGGCTCTACGACGTTCTTTTTGGATTGATATGGCTCTCATACGGACATTGTTTAGCACTTCACCCTGGAAATCAAATGATGCATTAACTAAGGGAGTATAATTCAAAATTTATATGAATAGAGTAAAATATACTTCCATACGTAGATTAATTGCAACTAAACACTTACATAGACTTTCACCCGACTCGAGAAAGACTCATACCTGGCTGATGAGTAGTGGCTCGGATCGCTTATCAATTTCACGCAACCTTTGTTATGCCACGCTTCGTACTTCTCATCAGTTTGACTGGGCTCCCCTTCTTCCAAATCCGTAAGAATGTTTCGGGCTCTCCTATTCCAATGGGGGCGTAGTTTACTATGGTCTTCTACCCAATTTTTCGAAGTAAGCCCAGACATGTTGTGTTTGTGAGTTTTCTTATTCTCTTGGATATTGGCAATCATAGATCATTGGTGAACAGCTTGAATGTAGCCAAACTGTCTCACGACCCTGCCAAATTTGTGGGATTCTCGAATATCCCTGTAGAACATCCATGCCCTTGCCATCCAAATGGCACATCCATATTTACAACAATCAGGCAGGGTAGCGAGGAGATCCTCGTAGGGTTGCCAAACAAACTGTGAAAAAAATTAGAAATTAACGAATTAATTCACATAAGAATGGTGGAAAAAAATAATAAATTAAGAAGTGATCCACGCTTACATCACTGGCTTTTAAGGCAGTTAATTGATCTCTAGAACCCGGGAGACTAGACCTTGGGATGTCCTTGTAGGAGTACAAGTAATTCCACCTTTCAATACAAAAAAATCAAAGGTATTATTTATCCAATAAAAATAATAATGATATTAGTAATCTTTAAATTAAGAGTATAAGAAATAAACTCAACGATAAGCTAAAGGACCTGTAGGATCTTCTTCAAATATCTTTGAAATTCTTTGGGGCATGATTATCGGGATCCACTCGTATACCCAAACCTAAAAATCAATAACAACAACAATAAATAATAATACCTTACAATATAATAAATGTTTTTCAAATTGAATTGCCACGTATTGAATATATAAATACTTGTAGAAGATACACATAGCTGGTTACATCACATTTTTGATAATTACTAGCCTCGCACCGGCTAGAATACAAGTAAGCAAGGAGAGCCAATCCCCAACTAAGTTTTGCACAATGACTAAAACCTGCCAAATGGTTCAATAAATATATCTATATATATAAAAAAACACTATTTTGGCTTCTGTCCAGAAATATAAAAGAACCCATAAACTATAGGAGCATTAATCGGGCCCTTTGTACATACACGATCTTCGCAGAACCTACAAAAACAACACTTTAAACCTTAATATATAGACTATATAGATTACACAACAACCAAAAAACAACAAAAAAACCACTTAAACAACACTATATAGACTATATTTGTTTAACAACACAATTCCAACCATTGAAACAATTCCAAAAACAAATAAAAAATCAATTACATCCTAAACTTAACAAACACAATTACAACTATAAACAATTCCACAATTCAAACAATTAAAACAATTCCAATAAAAGCACACTATAAACAACACTATATATACATATAAAAAGAAAATCAATTCCATCCTAAACTCAACAAACACAATTACAACTATAAACAATTCCATAATTCCAACAATTAAAACAATTCCAACTAAAAAAACACTATAAACAACACTACATATACATAAAAAAAAAACCAATTACTCTCGAATTTACAAACTCCAACATATTAGGGAGAAAAAAACATTTACCACCCACAAATCAATAAAATCAACAAAAAATAGAACATTCAATTCTTTAAATTACACTAGGGAGCAACAATTACAAAAAAAATAATAATAATAATAATCGAATTAGGGAAAAATTAATTTGGGGAAAATATTAGGGCAAAATGAAACTGCCACAATTGATGAGTTTAGGTTGTTATCTTAGTAGGAGGGAGGCGAGAGGGAGTGGTGGAGACAGGCGGTGTCATGGCGGCGGTGTCATGGCGGTGGTGTTCACGGAGGTGGTGGTGGTGTTCATGGAGGTGGTGGGGGTGTTTTATAGTCAAGGAGGATGGCGGCGGGAGTGGTGGAGACCGGCGGTGAAGGGTGAACGGCGGCGGTGGAGAGGATTTCATCGAGAGTGGCAGATTTGCATGGTGGAGGAGGGAGATGTCACGACGGTGGTAGGGCAAAATCAGGGGTGGTGGGGGTGAAAATGAATTGGGGAAACAAGGTCAACCCCTTTTATACCCCCGACAGACTCGGATTTGGCAAATCCGAGAGACCACCTTTAGAAGAAGTCTCGGATTTGCCAAATCCGATATCAGAGAAACGGGAAAACTCATATTTGTCAAATTCGAGATGTCTTCTAATAGTTGCTTTCGGATTTCGCAAATCTGAGTCGTCAGGACATCAAAAAAACAGAGAAATAGAGCAGACTCGGAGTTGCCAAATCCAAGTCGCATACGAAATGGTAAGGTTCAGATTTGGCAAATCCATGAGTTACCTAATTTTTAAAACGGTGAATTTTGCTTTACCAATTCACAAAACCTGTAAACATCCAACAACTACCACCACACTATACTCTATGATAATAGTTCGTTACAAACATTTAACAAGATACAAATTTAACATTCAATCCAAGAGATAACACTACACAATAAGGTGTTCTACAAAATACAACAACAAACTAATCACTTTGATGCTCCCATTCGTCCACCAAAGGTGTTCTATCTACTTGGGGATGCGAGTGGGGACACGAATTAGGATCGTGAGCTCCTCCGCATCTCCAACAAGCACCACTTGTTCGCCGAGCATGGTAATCCATTTGTATCTTGCGTCGCCTTCTTTGGTGTCAACCCGGACCACCATTTTGCACGAGCTTCTTGTAATTTAGATAGAGTTTCCAATCAACCATAGGCCATTGTCACTCATCAGCACCGGTGACAAATCATTGTATTCGAATTTTTTGATCCATGTTTGACGCCTCCAACACTTTGGTATAGAGAAACATGCCAATCACCTTTTTATGTGCATCGGCAAGTGCGTGCGTACACGGCATCAGGTACTCTTGCCATTTCTTGCACGAACACTTTTTGGCATTATACGTGACCGTATGCACCTCCCACTAGGCCGTGACGGAGTTACCACCTCCCAACTATCATCGTCGCCATCGAACTGTTCAGCATCATAGGTGGCGGCTTTGACTCAATTGCTTGAATTTTTCCAAATTAAACGTCTTTCCCATTTTTTGGCATAACCACTTCACTCTTGCACTCCTATACTTTGACACTAGATTGCTTCGAATGTGCCGGAGGCAATACATGTGGGCCCCATCACCTAAATTACTCCATTCTGGTATTTCCGACATTGCCCTGAAAAGCCTAGCGTTCCGTTCGGAAACCACACTAACTTTAGTGTCATCCACAACATGATACCTCAAGTGTTTCATGAAAAATACCCAACTTTCAGTGGTCTCTTCATCAACCACACGGCGAATGCAATTGGGAAAATGTGTTTGTTTGTGGTATGCACCATAGTAACTAGCAACTTACCCTTGTATCCCCTACGTAGGTGTGTTCCATCAACAGAAATCACCGGCGGACATTCAACGAAAATCGCAGCCATTGGTGCAAATGACCAAAACACATATTTAAAAGTCCTACTTCCCATATTCCAACCTTCTTCTCCCTCCTTCCATTCCCATTCCACTACAGTTTCGGGATTAGTACTCTTAAGTACTTCAATATACCTACACATCAAGTTTGCCCGAGTTAATATATGCCAATACAAGTAAAAAATATAACAAATTAATTGACATTTATCAAAATTGAAATTTACCTAGAAAGATCTTTAAAATTGGAGGACTAATCACCATAAACTGCCTCTATGGCTTTCCTCCTCCCGTTCCACGTCCTTTTGTAGGGGACATCAACTTTTACCAACTCCTTCACATCTTTTGACACCAATTTTGCCGTGTAATCCACGTTTTTCGCAACGTTTCTCATGATTAATCTGGCAATAAACCCCGAGTCCGCACAACGGTTGTCATTATTTTTAACCACCCTCATGCAATTGTGTGCGGAATGTCATTTCACTATTTGATGCAAGCTTGATGGGGTGTCAAGCCACACAAATAAAATAACCTACTTCAAACTACTGTAATATAGGGAAGTAAGGTCGTCTCCTCAGGGAACGATGGATTGTTTCCTTCAAATTAATGCAAAGGAGATTTTTGGATTGTTTTTCTAAACTAAGATAATGAAATACAAATAACGAAAACTAAATAAAAGAAAAGAAATCAAAGTAACAGACTTCTGACTCAAGGAACGGATAACTCAATTATTTCATTAATCATAGACTACTAAAACTACTCTTGCAATTTAAGCATTCAACCAAAGATCTATTAGGATAGCCGTAATAAATCAATTAATCTCCCTAAATTAACTAACCAAGCCTAGCACTCAATTAATCCTTATCATAATTCGGCTGGGCACGATAGCGTTTCATACCAAACAATGATAGCATAAAAACCAAGGAAATATAGTTGAACCAAAATCTAAACAATTGAGATAGCTACAACTATTCAGACTTTGACTCATTGATTCAACATTTAAACTAACATGCATATTCAATGTCTCACCAATACACATGCTTTGTCTAATTGCTACTCAGTACTTCTAGTTCTTGTCTACTAATGTAACATTCAACTAGCAGATAGCACTAGAAAATAAATAACAAATCAAGTTGTCAATTTGAATGATATCTACTTTCATAAATAAAAACAAGAATCAACAAATACTTAAATCATAGGCAAGAACAATAATTAAGAACAAAACCTCATAATGGAATAACTGAATAAATCCCTTGAATCAGAAAAGAAAACTTAGCCACTCATAGTTGGAAGTATGACGGTTCAATTCTCCATGGAAAACAATGAAAATTCGGGAAAAACAAGAGGTGGGAGGTGCTAGCCTATGGCTACACACACGGCTGCCCACAAAACATCACTCAAATTCTTTTTATAATAGAAATTTAGGTCAGCCGCAGGAAAACAGCAATTATTCCACGATTTGCATATTTGGTCCCTCAAGTTTGCAGTATTTTTACTTTTGCCCCAAAACTTCTTCAATTTTGTATTTCAGTCCTTGGACGTCCAAATTAATCCAAATCAGCTCCAATCTCTTATTTCCAGCTCCTAACATGAAATAATAACAAAACCAATGAATTAAATCCATCCGAGTCCATAAACTAGTAAAATATCAACAATTAAAACACAATTTATGGACTCTATCAAAGCTATGCTTTCCTAGTGACACGCGGATCCTCCATTTGCATATAGGTTCTCTATCTTGGGGGGGGGAGAGGGGTGGGGGGGGGGGGAATCTAATGTCCTACATCAAACCGTCCACGTCTTACTGTTACTCGCGATAACCTTTAACTCCCTTTTATTGTGGATGTTCCACAACTTCACGGCATCTTTTGTTTCTCTTTGAGACTTGAAACAAACTTTAATGCCCATCCTTTCAGTAGTCTCGTTCCATATTTTTATATTAAGATCATCCTTGTAAACACGCGAGGCATTTCATTCACCCATTTCCTTATACACATGGCACCGGGGAAATGTATTTAGTTCCTTTTCTTCATTCACCAATTCTTCATGATCACTTTCCTCATCATCACTAGGATCTCGTGCTTCCAAGCTTTCGTTTGGAGCTGCGTAGTTGGAATCATCATCATCCATGTGATCATCTTGTGCAAAGAAAGAGCCACCATAATGATTGTTCCCATCTTCTTGGTTAGTGATATCCTCCGTCTTCATGTACAAATCCGTACTTGTCATTGGCTCGAGATGATAGATGATCCCAACATGTGAATTCTTCTTTTATCTTCATGGTACGCCTTAGACCGTGAGTCACAAATATTAACAAAATGTGGAGTTTCCTAGCTATTTCAAGATTTCAACCGAACATCACACAAATCAAACCAAGCAACTGATCATATGACAACCCACTATCAATAACAAAAGGGTCGTCTGGCTTGTTCTCAAATGTGTTCACTACACCATTCTCTATTACATACTTGCTGCTAAGAAACAAATTAAGTATGTATAGCCCGTGCGTGGATATTTTAACTGTTTATTAAGGGACAAAAAATTGTTAACTATATTAATCGTAATCTCACCTAAAAAAACAAAAATTCTCACCTAAGAAAAAAAAAACAATTCTCACCAAAAAACAAAAAAAAAAAAAACAACAACAATTCTCATTAAATTATGCATACAAATTATCCCTAAAGCCTATCAATTATCCATACAAACAAAATCTATCCAAATTCATTAAATTAACCTCTATCAATTCAAAAAAAAAAAACAATCCTAACCTATAAACTCAACAACATCTACATTAACATATTACATTCATAATCATCATTCATAACGATTCCTGTTTCATTTAGCGGTTATGTGGGGCTAAAGAGCTCCGACCACAACCTTCCCTAACCCTCAAAAATTGAAAATCCCGATATGAAGGAAAGCTAGAACTTTTTCTTTTTATATCACGTATCTTTCGGATTTGGCAAATCCAAGAGTCACTATTCATGTGGGGCTATCGGATTTGTCAAATCCGAATGTTGGTCACCTTATCCAATCTGATTTAATACATCCAACAATCTTATCCACTAGCACTGACTGCCCCTCAACCGAAAGGATGCCCTCGGATTTGTCAAATCCGAGAGGTAATCCTATACCCTAAACCCTAAACCCTAAATCCTATAACTCGGATTTGGCAAACCCGAGTTTACGGTTTCAATTTTTGAATTTTCCCGCCATTTTTGTTGCATTTTTTAAATATTAAATTTAAAGGCTTCCGGATTTCGCAAATCCGAGGTCACTGTTTATCTTTTGACCCCATTTTTCATTTGTCGTGAAATAAAGAAAATAAATTATTTTTTATTATATTTAATTGTTTCAGATTTGGAAAATCTAAAAGACCGTTTAACTAAGCTCTTGGATTTGCCAAATCCGGGACAACTACTTGTGTGTAAAAAAAAAAGTACACACCAATTCTTTTAAATTTTTTTGGCCGAACGACTCTAGTAAATAACTGTGTTTTGACCATGATTTTGTAGTTTCTAGTATCGTAGACATTTTCGTCGATGTATGCATATAAATGTTAAAGTCGACAAATTGTTTTTTTTTATTTTCTTTTTCTTGTTTCTATCAGCGCTTTTAGATTGACGCGTCAAATTCCAACTTCCTCTACAGTATCGTTAGTCTAGATATCTTGATTCCAAGTCGATGCATTTTGTTTTGAGCAATTTTCTATAAATTTTAATGCTTGATCACTATTTTGTATAAATTGCTAGTATTAGGATGTGTCCCTATGAAATAATTTATTGCCTCAACTTTTTCACCGATTTTCTGACGTAGTATGTGTTATCTACCTGATTATTTTGGGACGGAAAGGACCCATTTGGATATAATAGCCACCAACCAACAAAATTTCCTAAAGCAGTGTATTAGAGGAAAAAGCTTAGTCACGCTGTTTTTGTTGCCCCAAGCCAAAAAAATGCACTTCCCTTTAGTTTCAGCCTTATATGATCTGCCTCAATGAGTTGTATTGTCTCTTCATTTGCAATTATCTGAAATCCTCAACCTTCTTCTTCTTTCTCCTGCCGCCAGCCACACACCACTCCTCCTCTCGGAAAAAATAAAATAAAATAAAATGAAAGTATCCGATCCAAATTTTGGTATAGTTATATGGATTTTGGATTGGGAGCTCCAAAGTTTAGTGATGGATTTCGAATTGGCTGCTGGATGTGGCCAGTTGTTCTCAAGCTCTCTTGAGTTCCTTGCTAATGGAAATGACCAAGAGTTAAGGATCCGAAACCTTGGAGGCTACCCCTGGTCATAAAATCAAAGGAATGTAACGCAAATACGATTTCGTTGATTTCTGTTCCGTCAAACCATAGGAATGCAATCTACATTTTAAGTACCTTATAGTAAGCATTTCCATTTAACTGATTGGTTTTTGCATTTTGTTGAAACTTTGTTACCACGCCTTTGCTAGAATTTGTTAAGCTGTAGTAGAGATTTTTAAATCCCACTTTACAAAGGAGATACATATGTACTGAATTCCATGAATTTAGCCCAAATAACCAAAGAGTATGCATTTTACATCCAGTATTTTTTTTTTTATTAATTTCATTCTTAATTAACAAGTTCAGCCAGTTGTCCAGCCTCGGTCAGTCAATTGTGTTTCACGTACTTTTGGTAGGCATAGGAATATTATTGAGCAGTGGAGTACTAAAGAATGCATTTCTATGAAGTTAAACACGACCGCTCCTACTAATCCTACATTCACACGTAAGGAGTCATTGGAGTTGTTGGAGGTCTTTAACGACTGTAAGAATATTGAAGTGGCTTTAGAAGAGACATATAGATGCTTAAAATTAATTTTAGAGTTTCAAGGATAAGGAAAAAAAGTCATCTATACAGTTTTTTTATAAAGTGAAGAAATAACAACATTATGAGGTCTCATAATTCCGGTGTGAGCCTTAATAATAGTGTCACTAGTAACCAAAGTAGTTGTGGTGGAATGGAAAGGACTCCTCCATATTTAACCATAGGTCGATGGTACGAAACTCGCCATGGACATGGAGCAACTTCAAATACTTTGAGCAGCTGTCCCACCCATCGAGTTGCCTATAATTCATTGAGGGGGATTAGTCACTGTTGCCGATGGTGGACACCCTGCAAATATGAAAATAATAATAATAATAATAATAATAATAATAATAATAATAGTGTCACTATTTACTTTTCAACTTCAGGTTCGCACAGCTTTTTATATATGATGGTGATGATCTACATCAATGATTAGCCAATCCTTTTATTCTGAAGCCTTCAACCGTCTTCGTCTTTCATTCTAAAACCTCCCCCTGAACAAATCAAAGTTACCAGATCCATTTTTACTCGTTGCCTTTATTTGTACGCCCATTCAAGGAGGTTCAAGTGGCGCGCATAGATACTCCGAATGACTTCCTAACTTATTTTGGCTTCTGGAGATACGTCTTGATCCGATGGCCAAACCCACCGGATCGGGTGTTTTAGGACCTTCCTGTCCTTGTCTCCGTCCTCTCTGTTCCCTTATTTGGCGATGACACGGAAAATCCTCTTCTGCCTAGAAGATCTTACACTTCCCAACAACGGTGGAAAATCTTCGTCGATCTTATGGAAGGATCCGAATTATTGGGGCGTCCATGACAGAGAAAGTGGCCCCTCCTTGATGGTTTCAGGACGTGGTATCCAGAACTGGTGGGATTGTAACTTTCTTCGAGGATCCGTGAAGCTCTGGATTAACATTTGCTCTATTTGTTATTTAGATTTTGAAATGGAGAGGCTGAATGGATGGAGCCATTTTTTAAGCTCTCTTGAGTTCCTAGCTAATGGAGTTGTCCCAAGATGCAGGTGCCCAAGTTTTGGGATGATCACTGCATTTCCTTCCGATCACGTATTCAGACACGCGAGAAGGGATGGACCTCGTCACGGAGTCCGCTGTATTTCTTTCCGCTCATTCCAAAATACACAAATGCCACTCGTCATCGACGAACCTGTTTGATTCCTACATAGTTTCTTTTCTAGCTGTGCACGTAGTTGTAAATTACCATGTCCTTTTTTTTTTTTCATTTTGCCCAAAAAAGCCTTTATTCTTCTAAATTAAGTCATATTCCAAATTGTTTTCGCCTTAATTCGGGTTTTTACATTTAACGCGGGAGCAAACCCAGTTCAAACACATCTGCGCTTAGCAGTAAACGTAGAGAAAATCGAAAGAAACACATCAGCGCTAATCATTAAATGTAAAAAAGTTTTCCGGTATTCGGTTGAAACATCATAATTTTGTCTAAACGTAAAGAAAAAGGGAAAAAGATTGTTCATTAGGAAATTTCCCATTCTGTGTTGAGATTTTGTTGATGTTTTAGTGCTTCATCTCGCTGCAATAACAGAAAGAACCCGCCTTCAGTGCATGATTGATACTTTCTTTAAATTAATGTACTTTGTACCAAATCTGAAATAGCCTCAACTTGTCCTGAGAAATTCAGTGAAGACTTTCTGATGTACTGTACTAATACTGTGCGTTGGAAGCGTGATTCAGCTATATTTTCTATTTAATGCTTGCTAATAAAACTGACAGTTGGGCGATTGTTTTGGGGAGTATTTGTGAATATTCCCCACCCAAAAGGAAAAAAAGGACAAAATTTAAAAAATCAATGGAAGAGAGAAAGTCAGTCACACTGTTTTCTTGTAGCTTCAAGCAAAAAATGCCTGTTTAGACCTTTTATGGTTTTTTTTTTTTTCTTTTACCCAACTGGAACTCTGCAACATATAATCTGCCTCATTGAGTAATCAGTCCTTCATTTTTAATTGACCTGAATACCTAAACTTTCTCAACCTTCTTCTCCTTTCTCCTGTATCTCAAACTATCTTTAAGATCGTACTGGATCTGTCAGGATCGTAGGATCGGTTCGAGTTTACTATTTATTAATTACAAAAAATTAATTGAGCATATTGGAATTTTTCTTTTCTCTCATTTCTCTTGGTCTACATTCAATTGAGGCTAATATTCATTGATGAAACTTTTATTCCTAAGAAAAATATATTTTAGAAAGTTTTTCTTATAAAATAAAAAGAATAACTATAAGAGAAGAACTTTTATTAAAAAGTTATGAAAAAATTCACATAAGAAAATTGAATTTAAATAATTCTTTTCGTTTAAATGTTAAATACTTTATTTAAAGATAATTCAAATCTAATTATTAAAATAATTAATTATATAATATAAATTATTAATTTTATGATCTTATTATTCCAATCCTACCAATCACGTTTACGATCCCATCCTATGACCTCATTTCGATTCTACGCAAGATTGCGATCCTGCAAACATTGTGTGGAACCTCTGAAACTGGGAATATCTCTGCTTACCTCTGGATTATAGCATTTCCGGCAAATTTGGTACATGTTTTGCTCCCTTCCTATATGAAATGAGTTAAATAGTGTACATAGTTATTACTTGGAATGTGTCATACACTCGAAATTAAGATCAGATTAGTTCTCAGTCTCGAAGGGAAAAATTCCTTGTAATTTTATGAGAAGTGTCCCTAGAAAATCATCCAAACCTTTTTTGCCAGCTAAGAAAATTGCAGTACCCTACATCATGTTGATGGAATGAAAATAAATGAAAACCTTAACTATAATTAAGAAAGCAAATTTTTTTTTACAAGTCTAAAAATCGCTCCTCAAAAAAATATACAGTACAGGCCCTGAGTTATGATCTACTAATTCATAGGTTACACAGGATTTATGAGCTTTTTCAGTCATACATTGTTTATTTCTTTTCTCCATTAGTAACTTCCTCGATCGGGGTGTATTTTGTTGACCCACCCTGCATGTTGGCCAAGGACTTCCTACTTTTTGTTACATGGTTAATTGTAGCATGTTGTTGCGACTTTTAGATGAATCTACTTGTATAATTTTTTTCTTAACTTGATTATTAGCGTCAAGAAACTCTTACAATTCGTACAGTAGTATGCTCTTTATAGCTTATATTGGCCCTGTTTTTCCTATAAGCTTTTATCATGGGTTGCAATTGAATATGAATGCACCCATAAAAATAGAAATCCATGGTATTAATAATTATTATACTTTAGTTTTTGTTTTTTTGGCAAAAGAAATGAAAAATAAAAGTTGCTGCCTTAATGGCAGAAATCGCAAGCATTATATCAATATTGGTCACATTTTAATTTGGATATGCAAGCAGAATTGGAAGTGACTACAAATTTCAATGACTCCAAAAAATTCTCAAATAATTTAAATTATGGTTTCTTTTTTTTTTTTTCTTTTAACTTTTGCAAATAAAAATTATGCTTTCCTGCTTATTTGAAAGTGGATAGAAATGCCTCGTCAAATAATGAAGGTCTCCTGAAACATTCTTCTGCTCATATCTAATTATATTACTTCCAAAAAATAAAAAGAAACTGTTCGAATTTTCGTTCCAAATTGATGCTTATGCTGGTGCGGCAACTTATGAGGTACGTACCATGTTCATTTTTGCAGCATAATTATGTATACGACATTTAGTATTTTGTATTTTTAAAATTATAAATAAAACTTATTACCAAAAAATGAAAAACTGTAATTGAGATTTCACAAATTTTTTATTTGAGTAATTGGTATGTGGGTCTTACGCATCACTTATTAATGTGTTTGTCGCATTTCTTCTTCTTCTTTTTTTTTTTAACTGCTTAATTTGGTCAAGTATTTTGGGAAAATTTGATAGAGGATAGTTGTAGCTGTTATAGGAACTCTGCATAAAAGGTAACAACGTAATGTAAGCAATTCCTTTAAACTTATTATACACTCTTTGGTCTGGTTAACTATACGCCTGACCAATAGAATCGTTTTGCTTATTTTCTTTTCCTCTTATATGATAAAATAAAGTATTTCGGTGTTCAATAAGTAGTGAAGGAACTGTTCGCGGCGTCAGCAATAACAATGCATCCGGCAGCCAACATGGACTGGAGTAGTTGCAAAAATACAGAGCCGGAGATGGACATGTGAGGTGGACAGCAATAGCCGCAAGCCCGATGATCAGCGACAGTTACCCAGATTTGGATTTAGAAAAGAGCAACAACGGATGCAGCAGTAGAGAATTGGTGGAAATAGGAAAAACGACAAAAAAAAAAAAGATGAAGAACAGATTGAATTTCCTCCGTTGGAATAGCAGAGAGGTCGAACTAATTAATGACGATGAAACAGAGACACAATGGCAGCGCGACAACTGAACTCTAAAAGGTGGCGGCAATAATGAGAATTTATTTATGAACTTAAGGGAAAATGGTGGACGCGATTTTGTATAAGTACATTAACAAGAGTAACTTTTACCACCGATAGCACATCCAAATCCAAAATCTACGCAGAAATTAAGGTGTGTAGTTGATGATGAGTAATTCATTGAGCCACTGGTTCCACTTATTTTACCCTTGCCAAATTACTGGGTTTCAATGAAAGGGAGCTTTTTTGTCCCCTTGAACAAAGGTAACATGTAATAGTACACCAACACGTTTTGCCCAACGGAGGACGAGTGCTTCAATTTTCACATACAAAATTGGTTGGTGACCCTTTCGGTCTTAATAATATATTTAAATATTTAAAATCTACATGAACGGGTAAAACAAATATAAATAAATGATTAAATGTAAAATGGGAAAAACTAAACTAAGTTAAGGGGCATGAAAACTAAAACATAATAAGTTGATAATGCAACATATTTATATTAAAAACTTATATATATTGAGAATATAGAAGTTAATAAATTTGTGAGGCACCTCAGATTTGTGTTTAAGTGGATACACCCATAAATAATGAGTAAAATTATCAAGAAAAAAGGACAAAATACTTGAAACCACTAAATGAAACACAGGGAGAAGTCCAAACATCGGCATGGATTAAATCAAAAGCTTTGAAAGTAACTGAAGTAGAAGGCATAAAAGGGAGTTTATGATGCTTCCCAATTTGACAACCCTGACAAAGACTAAACTTATTTGAGGAAACCACCGAACCAGGAAGGCGGTGATGTGACACTAATGTAGATAAAACAGAAGAATTGGGGTGACCAAGGCGTCGATGCTAGACATGAGAAGAGACGGAAGCAGCGAATACCGGACATGATGAAGAAGACGGTGCACGAGATTGATCCAAAAGGGTGGATGGGAAAGTGTGAAGGGAACCAACACTATTGCAACGTAGACGAGGGTTCCTCGTCCAAAGATCCTTCACAGAAAAACCAAAGGGATCAAACTCAATAGAACATTGATTTTCAGTTGCAAACTGACGCACAGAAAGAGGATTTTTGGTAAGTGAAGGTACATAATAAACCCTAGGAAAGCAATATTGAGAACAAGGAAGTGTACCAACAGATTTAATAGGTAAATTTGAACCATTACCAATCACAACTAGAGTAGAACCAAGATAGGGTTTGGAATTAGTAAGAGTACCTTGATTGGGAGTCATACTATTACCACAAGCCGTGTCCATATACAAAGAAGAATCAACAGACGGAGGGACAGAAAGCCGATTATGTTGATCAACAAAATAGGCGGGCTGCTGGAATTGATAGCAATCCCGGGCAGAATGATTAAACAGGTGGCACAATTGACAGCGAACAGGACCCAAATTGGACAAGGAAGAAGGAGGCGGTCCAAGAAGAAAGGGAGCGTGCTGCCTGGGAGTAAACATGGGAACCGGATAAGAAGAATAAGAGTGATAAAACGGAGAAGAAGACTGACCAAAATATTGATTGCGACCACGCTCGCGACCTCGGCCTCTTGGATTCTCGAAGCCGCGACCGCTTCTACGGCCACGACTGGATGAAACAGGAGAAGGAGAAGCGGACGTCGGTTGCTGAGAAGAACCAGGTGAAGCAGCCGCCACCAAGGCCGTGGTTGCCGCTGGAGAAGGAGGGGCTACATTATGAAGCTGCACCTCATGCAAGAACAACATCGAACGAGCCTCAACGAAGGTAGGAAGAGGGACTTTGTGGCTGATGGTGGTGGAGACGGA